CTAAAACGAATTAGGTAAAGTTACATACCAATCATAACTTATCAATTCCAATATACTGTAAGTTGACTAACCTCAATGTGAAGAAGAGTTCCTACACAATTCAAACAACGTATCCTCAAATCTACCACTCCACTTTCAATTAAGTTCCCTATCACCTTCAGACAGCTTATCATCTTCTCTCCTTCAAAAACATAAACAAATAAACCACTGTGTAAATATCTAAATAGAAACATTTGAAATGTTTAAATATATTGTGGAATGACTGAAAATTGGTTAGTTTATTTGTTAAGCACAAAGTTACACTACAGGGTATCTGTATTCTGCAACCTGTGGGTATAAAAAAATAAAGCTTGAACTTAAAGTAAAATATTGAGCTTTCTCTGTATAAAAGACAATGTAATATAATATATCGTTTGACAGATGAAAACGTTGACTTTCTGTTGATTATAAATAAGATAGTATTGAATGTCAGAGAGAACTATTGGCAATTTCTGAAAGAGAGGATGTGACAGGTGGGTGTGACAAGAGGAGTCTGATTTTCTATTTGATGGATCTGTGACCAAATAAGATTGAAGTCTATGAAAACTATGCTCTGCCTGAGTGATGAAAATATTACAATGAGTAATTTACATTATATTTCATACTCCTTACAGGGGTGGTAAACAGGGTACAAGCTGTATGAAAACTGCCATATTTAAATCCCATTCTGTGCATGTTACTGAGTTACTTTCAAAATTTAGTAAAACCACTTTCCTTTTAATGAAATTATCATTATCAAGTACATTACAATTCAAAATTTTATAATTATATAAGTTTTCATTCTTTTATTTCAAAAGAAACCTCTAAAACAATAATAAAAGTTAAGCACGTATTGTGACCAGGGTTAAAAATCTCAAGTTTAGAGCTATTTAAGAGAAACAAGTGTGATAATATACACTTGCCTTCCTTCAAGTGGTCAAAGTACATCATATAGAAGTTGTTTAGACATAATTTGAGAATTCATTGAACTATAGTTGGAAAACAAGACCATTGGAAAGATAAGCCACGCCTACTTTCAAAGTAGAAGCTCAGTTGTTAAGAGACTGTTTCAAGTTGAATGGCAGGCTTATAACGAATAGAAAGAGCAGATTTCTTACTATTTAACTAACTAGGCCAAGAGACATTAGCAGTGTATGGGTTTGTATGTATGAGATAGAAATGAAGCTGAGTCCATTGTCGAGAATAGGGTCTCTAGCATTTGGCTATACTTTCTCACCTTATATATATTAGACTGATACAGTTAAATTGCATTTAGGTTTTACTTTTATATTTTAGTAATTATGTATTATTTATATTTGAAAGGTTTAATAATTTTTTCAGTTTACTGGTTTACTTATTCATCTCCTATCTCATCAAGACTTGTAAACAAAGGAAGTTAGCAAAATATTTTGCCCGCAGCTACATGTCTGTTCCCAACCGTATCTGATAAACAACCAGGCACACTTTATGATGTTTTGGTTTAAATGATAAAAGACAAAGAATTAGAAAGGAAAATAAAACATTAAAAATACACTACAAGTGAAAAGACAAAACCATGAAATGATGTATATGAAAAGAAATATATATAAGATGATTCCACAAAGGGATAAAAGGTATGTATATATTTAAGTTTCTTAATTTTAAACATTTCAATGCACTGTAGGTTGATGATAACAGCTAGTTAGTGAAATGGTAGAGATAATGGAAAATATGATATAAACATTTACCTTAAAAACTTTTGATATTCATTTAGGAGGCTCTAGATATTATGCAAATGAAATGCGAAGACTGTAGGATAATAAATGGTATTTTTATACTCAAAATAAACATCACCTTACATGTTAACTATTCAGAGTCTGAGCGCAAATAATTACATTAAATAATGAATGTTTTATTAAAATAGTAGAATAAACTAAATTATGTATTTTAGTTTTCTAAAATTACATACTTTTAGGAAAGTTCTTGTCAAATATCAAACAATTTTATCTACTCATTTCATTTTTGAAAAGAACTTTCACAAGAGTTATGTAACCTACTTGCAAAGCATGTAGGTCATCATAGAGATAAGAGAAATTCAGGATTTTTTTACTTCTGCCTTATTAAATTAGGAACTTACAACTTATATACTGTTAAAATGTGGATTATTAGCTATATTTTTCTGTTATATTTATTGGTATACCTTGAAAGGTAGTTTAATTAAATTTTTAATGTAACTCACTAAAACCTCGTGACATATGCCTGTGGAGAGAGGATTGAACCAATCAACAAAGAAAATAGAAATTCTCATAACAAAATTTTGGAAATTTCATAATATGAAAAGTCCCTCAATGGATCAACAAGTTACCTGCAATGGACAAAGTGCAGACAGCCTGTTAGGTAACTTTTCATTAAGAAAACAAACATTGTAAAAAAATTATAAAAAAGTAAATCAAATGATATGAATTTTCTTAAGCCAAAACTAAATACTATATAGTAATTTCATACTACATTTCATTCAATTTGTTTAAGTATTTCCATTGTAAGAAGGAAAAAAATCAAGTGACAAGAAAATTTTGCTTTCAGATATATCATTTAATTAAATGTATCTAGTTATTTTTGTCCTGAAAGAATTTCTTGTGTCTTTTGCTGTGAAACTGTTTTCATGTCTTTTATGCACTGTGTGGTGGCTACTTAATGACATTTCAAGTTTGAATATTTAAAGATTGAAGAGTGATAATAGAAGGGTTTATAATGATGATAATCTTTTAATTTCAGAGTGAAGAAGGTATTCAGAATGCAGTAATTTGTAAATTATTAACTATAAATCTGTGGGAAAATTTTTTTCAATTCAGTGCAATAACAGGAATAACTGCTATTGTTGAATCTAGACTACTGACAGTCTTGTGTTTGTCTCCAATAAATAAAGGTCTACCTTTTAAAAGCTTTTGATTTATAGAGTTTTGAATTTTTGTGACAGTCTGGTGTGTCTCCACATGTTACAGTATTTTTTTTTCTTTTGATCCACAACCCCTAATTCTGAGAATGAATAATGAACCTCATCTGTCCAGTTGAGGTTGTATATGTACAAAGATATTTCTGTTTATATTTTCATTTAGCTTGCACCTCTCAGACTGAATTGCATTTGTACACATTCTGCCAAGGATGAGTTATGAAACCTCATCTGTTTGTTTGAGGCTGTTTGTGTATTTTCCTGTATTAGATTAATTTCCTACTTCAAAGATGAAGAGCATACCTGTTCTAGCAGTAGTATGGTAACCCACATGAGTGTTTCGTTTATCTCGGGGCTCACCTGTTTATTCTGAGTAGTCATTCTCTGCTTGATGTCTAATTCTAGCTTTGTGTGAGTGGAGAGAAGACCATATCAGAAGTTAAAATTTTTCTTACACTGAAAATGTATTTCTAATAGGTACTTACCTCTCTCACACAATTCCCAACCTTCCTCTCTATGGCTGGTATTCTTTTAGAACCTGCAAATTCTCAAAAGTGAGAATAGCAGAGGGAGCTAGTTGTGCCAATATAGGTGGTGCAGTACTATTGGTGGAGAGTAGTCACTAAATTGATGGGGTATATAAACTGGTGCTCTGATCATGAAATTTTTTAGCAATGCTTAGAGGGCAGATAATGATGAAGATAGCTTTGATGACAGGAGTAAATACATTTTCAACATAGAAAAATATTAAAATCATCAGTTTCGGTCATGTTTTTTTTTATTATCAGTGAGCTCTAGAATTTGCAAAATATAGTATCAAAAGAAATAGAATAATGAATATCAATCAAGATAAAATTGAATGGATGTATAAATCATGACTTTAAAAATAGTGGTAAGGGCATGTGAATCGTGTTATAAAGACTCAACAACTGCAACTGTAAGTAAATAGTGTCACACATCAAGTAACTGGAATTGCAAAGAGGAAGTTAGCTTTTGGTCGAAACCAAACAAACCCCCAAAATAACTGCAGAAACTAGAAGTCCAACAAACCAAATCCAGCATTACGGAGTTGTGATGTTGCCTCAACTCAACTGTTAGAATGGGGTAATATCTGTAACTGGTATTACAAGCAGAAATCATACTTCACTCAGCCATAAATGCTGGGAAGAGACATCTTGCATCCGGAATTACAAGGAGAACATGGAACATTCACTCAACTATAGGAACAGTATACATACATCCTGTAGCTGACATTACAAAGCAGATGAAGTCCCTCAAACTCATTCGTAGAAGCAGGTAAAGAACCTCCTGCAACTGAAATTAATGAGAAGAGGGTCATCTACTGGACACAACTGTAGGAACAGGGCAGCAGTATTCCGAACCTGGTATTATGAGGAAGATTCTGCATAGGCTGGATTTGCTCCAACCTACTACTTTCTTTTTCTGTCTATTGCTGTCCACCTGGGTAAAAGCATCCAGGGGAAATGGAAGGAAGGAAACCAGTTTTACCCTCTTCTCACTGAGTGGATAATCATGAGTATGAATTGTAAAGTAAATTTTTAACTCACTCAGGAGGAAGCCTCCATGGTCCACCACCCTAGCAACTCAAAACTGGGAAGTGGTAAGGATTCCCATGTTCCACTGGAAGAAAAATGGAGAGGAATAAACATGGTGAGGAGTCTAGAAGAATGCCACACCGGAAACTGTAAAACAGGTGTCAAAGCAGAATGACCCCAATTTATTTAATCAAAGAGTTTGCAGGAATGGGCAGAAACATCCTTCTGCTTTACTCATGAAGTCCATGAGTGACAGTCAGTCCATCATTGAGTGAAACATACTTGTACCTAGAAACACACACATATATATTAGGTCATCATGAAATTACTGTCGTGTTTTGGAACACTTTCATTAACTACCCCCCAAAAAACATACACCAAGTATAATAGTTAAACAAACTGCCTAAATGTCACCTTAGTGTAGCCTATATAATGTGTAAAGTTTAGTATATTCTAATCCCTTATAGAGATGGCACATGAGTGACAGTCCACCATTGAGTGAAACATACTTGTACCTAGAAACACACACGTATATATTAGGTCATCATGAAATTACTGTCGTGTTTTGGAACACTTTCATTAACTACCCCCTAAAAACCAATACATCAAATATAATAGTTAAACGAACTGCCTAAACGTCACCATAGTGTAGCCTATATAATGTGTAAAGTTTAGTATATTCTAAACCCTTATAGTGATTGCACACAATCAGCATGTAATGCTGTTTGAATACAAGGGAA